CACACACTCGTCACCTAGCATGTGCGTCACCTCAATACATATTTTATAACATAGTTCCCAGGGATAAATACCCTCAAATCCAAGTTTAGATATGTTACTTACCTCGAACAAGCCAAATCCGATATCGGAAAAGCCAACAATACTCTAGAAATGCCACCCCGTGCGTACCGACCTTTGAACGGCTCAAAACTAACCAAAAGTTACTCATGAACATCAAATTATGCTAAAGTGAACAAACCCAATCGATAAAGGTCAAATCTTTAATCTAAATTCCAAAGTAAACCAAAAGGTCAAACCTCGACCCGAACTTCAGAACCAAATAAAATTCTCAAAATCCGACAACTCATTCAATTACGAGTCCAACCATACTATTTTCACTCAAATCCGACTCTGAATCAATGTTCAAACTTAGAAAAAAAATACTTTATAAAATTTTAGACAAAATCCTCAATTTCTCTTTTGAAATCGTCAATCAAATGCCAAAAATGAAGATGGAATCACAGAATAAAATCGATACAGAGTAGAAAATAAATCGATACAGAGTAGAAAATACTTAAAATATAGCCTAAACAATTGCCTCAATCCGAGATCCACAGCTCAAAATATAGCCTAAATCCGAGATCCACAGCTCAATTCTATGTGGTGAATATAGCCTAAACAATTGCCTCAATCCGAGATCCACAGCTCAAAATATGCTAAAATGCCTGAAACCTCCGCAATAGAGTACTTATAATCACTGAACGAATTTATGAATCGCGATCGCGGAACAACCATCACGATCACAAAGAAGAAAAATTTCAGTGCCCTAAAATACCATATGCGTTCGTGATGCCCACAGATGCTAACTCTCCGTGAACACGGACTGACTCACGCAAACGCGAAAGAGAAATCACCAACTCCCAGTTCCTCGTCTCAACATTATGCGATCACGATTCGTCCTTCGCGAATGTGGTGCTCCAGTTCCCTTAACTTTGTGAACGCGGTCTCTGCCTCGCAAACGCGAAGCAGAAAATCCTAGCTCCAGACTTTACCTTACGGGATCGCATCTTCATCTTTGCGATCGCGAAAAACAATTGAGGCACCAAGACACCAACAGAAACTAGCAATGAAAAAATGAAGAAAAATGGTCCGAAATCAATCTGAAACACGCCCGAGCCCTCAGGACCCCTTCCGAACATACCAATAAGTTTCATAACATAATACAGACCTACTCGAGGCCTCAAATCACATATAACAACATCAAAATCACGAATCGCACCTCAAATCGAATTTAATGAACTTTTGAACTTTCAGCTTCTAAAACTCGTGCCGAACAAACCAACTCGGAATGAACTCAAATTTTTCACACAAGTTCCAAATGACATAATGAAGCTATTACAATTCCTGGAACCACAATCCGAACTCGATATCATCAAAGTCAACTCCGGGTCAAACTTATGAATATTCCAAACCATTAAATTTCTAACTTTTGCCAAATAGTGCTGAAACCTTCTAGAAATATCCAAATGCAAATCCGGGCATACGGCCAAGTCGAACATCACCATCCGTACCTAATGAGACCATCAAAACTCTGATTCGAGGTTAAATACTCAAAAGTTAAACTTGGTTAACTTTTCCAACTTAAAACTTCAGACATGAAATTCATTCTTCAAACTAATTCTGAATCACCAGAAAAACCAAAACCGACGATACACACAAGTCATAATACAACATATGAAGCTACTCAAGACTTCAAACAGCTGAACGAAATACAAATGCTCAAAACGACCGGTCAGGTCGTTACATATTTGCTATTATGAATAAGTATAAATCCCGTCTGTTAAGCCTGATAGAATTGTAACTATTGGGGTTTTAATATAAAATTCTAGATATATCGGAGATTGTTGGTTAGGGAATATGTCTATATGAACGCTTGTGATCTCCTTATCTGATGTGGGTAACTCGATCACGTGATCGAGTCCTTGGTCTTCAACGTTCGATCTAGACGACTTTGGCTTTGGAGCTGATTGGATAATTCTTAATGTACTTAATATGTATTGTCTTCTACACTACCATGTTCAGATATATTTTTTACCAATACAGTAGGCATCCTTCTATCATACGACACCTCAATAGCACTTCTCTATTTTAACCAACTGGTTTTAATCATATCAGTAACATCTTTATCGATCATTTCATTCTCTTGAATAATGAGTTTAGATATCTAAATTATTTGTATTTTGGCATTGCAATCCTATCTAATCTCACATTAACGACGCTCATCTCATATTGACTAAACTTGCAATGTATGTATTTATCTTTACTTTACTTATCCTAATATTTACTCTCTAACATGCTTCTCCATAGTTTATGCTTTTGGTTGACATCCTTGCTAGTTTTCGTCAATCGACATAATATCATTAGTAATAGCATATACTGTTAGACTTCATCGTGTATTGTGTTGGTTAATTATTCATAACTAGGGTAAATAAGTAGGGGCTCAATGCCGATTGTTAGTGTAAAGCCTACTAATATGGAAAACTCCTTCGTATCTCCTAGCATCATTTCGACACTAGTGATGACTCATTTATACATCTCCTTTATAGCATTTATACTTTTTATACGAATTTTTTTCTTCTCCATCACCCACCAAAAGACCTTTTATGGTAATTTATATGCTTTCTCTAAGAAAATGAAAAGTCTAGGATTAATGCATGGGAAAAAATGTATTGTTAGAAAATAAAGGAGACTTTAACTCTCCACTTTTATATGTTCTATATAGGGGTGGACATAAAATCCGAAAAATCGAATTCCGACCCGGACCGAATTAGTTCAATATTTCGATTTCGGTTTTTTCGGTATAATTCAGTATTAAATTTTTGGTTATTCGGTATATCGGTACGGTTCTGGGTATTAAGATTTCGAAATTTCGGTATACCGAAATACCGAATTATTTATGTGCTTTTCCAATCCTAGTCCTACCTACACTACCTTAACCCAGCCCAGGTTTCTATTTCTAGCCCAATAAGATTAAGTCCAATCCCTTACTGTCTTACTCACTTTCCCTTGTTTCCAAGTTAGAATTAGGTTTCTCTTGTCAAACAAAGAAGTGAAGAACAGAGTACACACCGACTGCTGCGAGTGAAGAACTTTTCAACCTTTTTTTTTACCTTCATTCTTCTGTCTTCAACTTTTCAACGTGTTTGCAACTTCTTCTTCTTTAACATTCAATTTGTATTTTTACAATTTATAGTAATCGTATTTAGTATCTTATATATAATTATAAGTTACTAGTAGTAATACGTTGCAGTGGTGTTGATAAATTTTACTTCTTATTGTAAATCCTTTCTCTTTGCAGTGGTGTTGATAAATTAGCACAACGTGATTCATTATGTATCAAACCGAAACCGTACTGAACCAAAATAAGAAATACCGAACCGTACCGAACTACTTTGGTACGGTATTTGGTATATACAATTGATAAGCCGAATACCGAAATATCGAACCGAAATTCTTAAATACCGAACCGAAATACCAAATGCCCACCCCTAGTTCTATATCAAGTCAAAGAGGAGCCACATTAATTTTCATTCTATCATTAATGCCCCATTCAAATTGACACAAAGAGGGAAAATGTTCTCTCGTCCACGTTTTCTTTTGTTTCTATCCTATTAGTTCTCATCCTTTTTTTCCTCTTCCAAAATTTAAACAAAATATTGCTCCTACATTTTACGCTATTCTTCTTTTCTTCATTTTTTTAAACAAACAAAAATAAATCGAAAGTGAAGCATTTCATAGGACAAATAAGTAAGTGGATTTTTCCTTCCTATACAATATTTGAAACTTATTTATTAAAATTGTTCAAGTTTTGTATATTACCCATCCTAAATAAGTTTTTCTTACAATTTATATATAATTCATTATTAGTGCCTTAAACTAGGAGATTCTTTGCTTGGAAAAGAGTGTAATTGAAGGGAACGAAGTTCGAATTGTTCTTCCATCTAAATAAGACTCCTTCGAGTTGTGTGTTACCCATTTTAAGACATAATTAGCGCAACTCTTCTCTCACTTTGTCATAATTACTTATTTTAAGAAAAGAATAATGTTTGGTACAACAAAATACAAATTAAAAATAAATTTTATACAAATTTAATACAAAATTTGATATATCTACAACAACATACATACTAAAAATAAATTTCATACAACTAATTGTACAATATACAACTTATGTACAACTTTCGTACATTATTCTTACCTAGTTAAATACAACTACAACATNTATATATATGGGGTGTTCTTCTGCTTCTTCTTTGAATTTCAATCTGAAAATCTAGCTAAATCAAATCTAATCTTCACCAAATACCCTCAAAATCGAGATATAAACTCCATAGAATATTCACAATCGTTTGCAATAACACCAAATCCAAACAAACAATATTTTTTGAAAATCTGAATCAAATTTAATGCTTCAAAGCTTTTTAATGGCTGTCGATGGTGGAGAGTCAAACACCTTCAAAATTTATTGATTAACAATTTCAATTCGAACAATACAACCAAATAATTAATATACAGCTACTGTTAGCCCACCATCGGAACACCAACAAGAAAAGGGGAAACCCGGAAAAGCTCCAAGCTCCAAACTCCAGCCATGGTAAAATTCAAATCAATAAAAAAATAATCTCTTTCTTCGCCATTGTTAGAGAATTATGAGCTTTAGAAGAAAAAAACTTGTAGAATCGGTGTACAAAAAGGGTTGATTTCAAAGAGAGAAAAAGGAAAATCCTTTAGAAAGATTGGGGTTTGTCTGGATTAGTAAGGAATTGTAAATTAAAATGCTACAACCAAGGAATACTCAGTTAAAATTAATTTGTATATAATTGATAAATTATATATAATCATGTAATTAAGTTAAAACTTGATTATAGAAGGTAAATAAATTTAATACTAATTTAGTCTAGGTAGGTAAAAATCCCATAATTGAATAAAAAAGAAAGGTAATATGCGGGTGACACCAAGTCACCAACTTCAATATCTAACAGTTGTCGCTAGACGCCACCTACTCATTGTTCGTTTGCGCAACTCTTCTATACACTTCTTTCTCCGCCCATCACTGTCCCTCAGTATCAACCCTTCTCGTTCCATCGAACAAAATCAAAATCCGTATTCCCAAAATGGCAGGTAAAATTCAAGTACTCTGCTGATTCTTGTAATGATTTGAAATTGCTGGTGTTATCTATTGAGATGACATTTTGATTGTCTACAGTTGTGCTCTGAATTTTGTCGATTCTGACTAAACAGCATTCAGAGAGCTAGTCTAATTTAGTGAATCTATGGCTCAGTGATTGTATTGTTTCAGCAGAAATGAATTTAAAGTTAACAATGCATGTGGTTCATTTATTCTTGCTTGTGTTTACCGTTTGACACCTATACTAACCCCATATCAGTGATACAGAAATTCCACTTAGCAAGAAACTGTATTTAAAAAAAAAAAGTAATTTGACAAGATTTCATAGAGAAGATGCGGCGTTGTAAGGGCCAGGGAGGGATGAGAGCTCTAAGCAAGGGTAGATGTAGGCTTTAAGATATGGGTTTGGCAAAACCCAGTAGCTTAAGTACAGACTCTGTATGTGTTAAGAAGTTCACTAAATATCTACAAAAATTAAATTCAAAACCCTGTTACTAGCTGTTACTAGCACTTGAGATCATAAAGGTCAAATCTTGGATCCGCCTCTGAGGTCCCTTAGCGGGTTGGGCAAGACGTGAAATTTTCAGTGTTAAGGCTATTGTCCTTTGTTATCCTCAGTTACTTTCTTTTTAGTGTCCTTTAGTCCTTTTGTTCGTACATAATAGTGGACGTAACTAGTTGTAGACAATTAAAATTTTATTAAATTTAAATTCATAAGAAATTTAGATTTTATCATAAATTAAATACATACTCGTCAAAGTAAATATTATGAGCTAGTATGACGGGGTCAATTATTTAAATCTAATTTAATTGATTCAAATAAAGGTCCAATATTTTATTGGGCTAGTCCGTCAATTGGTCTTCTATTAAATGGGTCGGCCCATAAGCCTCAAGCCCAATAATCCACTAGGGTTTTCTTGGAGACTACTCCACCCTACACCTATATAAATGGGTCAAAGGAGAAGGCTAAGACACACGCAAGTAAGCAGAAGGAAAGACTAAAGAAGCTTTGAAGAATAGCATCAAGGTCTCCATCCATATTTGCAATCGTCGTCTGTGGTCAAATTCCAAAGGCGAACTCAAATCATAGGCGGGCGGCTTCAAATCTTCCGTTCGTGATAACCCAACACCAAATCCTGGTTCATGACGACCTTCAAATTGTTCGTGACGTACTACAAACCTGAAATCCGTCAAGTTCAAGATCAAGCTCTCAAGCTCTTGAACCATCAGCCGTGAGGAGAAGAATCAGAGTACTACATCTCTTTAGATTTTAGAGACATTTTAGAGATTGTAACCCCATCACTTGAAATCGAATGTAATATTTGTCGCTATATTTCTTGTCTTGATTATTATTTTTCAGGAGCAAAATTTAGTTGTTACAAATTTTGGCACGCCTAGTGGGATCATCTCGCCCTCTCATCTCTTCTCTTGGAAGTTCAAGAACACCAAGATGGACATAACGAAGGTCAATCCCAAATTCAACGTTACTGAGGATGCTGACTCCAAAACCGGATTGGAAGTTGCCATGGAGATTATTGGTCAAATCAAAAGAAGCAACGCTGAAATACTAGGACAATAAGTACTGGAAGTGCCGTCCATAACTCTTGTTTTTGGTTCATCTTTTCCAAAAGAAGTGAGATCCTCTTCGTACATGCTAGAAAAAGGGAACAACATCGCTGAGGTGGTCGAACGAACTTTGGCGCGATTTAGCCTTTCAAAAGAATATCATTATCGGTCCCATAATCCTTTCATATAGAAAGATGATGATGTGTTGAGCAACGACTTTGCTCTAATCTCTCCTCGTGTCACTCCACAATCTGCTCTCTATACAAGTGATGGTCCATATCATTCTTCGTCATCTGTGGTGGTCATGCAAACATTGATGATTGAAGCTTCTACCATAAAAGAACTTGCAAATTTGATAAAAGCAGTTGAAGGCCTGACAAAGTACATGAAAGATCAAAATGACAAACTTGCCAAGTTGATGAATAAGGTAGAGAGTATGACAGAGGAAGAATCAAGCCAAGCACCTATGAAGCTTCCAGAAATTCAAGAGAAAGGAGAGTCCTCTACAAGGCTAACAACAATGACCAAAGAGCTCCAAGTCTCTTCTAATGGGCAGATTCACGTTGAGCAATTGAAGGACTTCATCATAGGGGCCATCAAGGATAAAATTGAGCCTTCGCCTAAATCTTTCCTTACATACGCAAAGTCGTACACACCAAGGATTGATAACTTGAAGATGCCAAGCGAATATCAACCACCTAAGTTTCAACAGTTTGATAGTAAAGGAAATCCCAAGCAACATGTTGCACACTTTGTCGAGACATGCAATAATGCTGGAACTTATGGCGATCACCTTGTCAAGCAGTTTGTTCGATCTCTTAAAGAAATTGCTTTCGATTGGTACACAGATTTTGAACCTGGTTCAATCGATAGTTGGGAGCAACTGGAGCAAGAATTTCTTATTCGCTTCTACAACACAAGGCACATTGTGAGCATGATTGGACTTACAAATGCTCGCCAGGGGAATGAAGAGCCAGTTATTGACTTTATCAATAGCTGGAAGAGCTTAAGCCTCAACTGCAAAGACCGTCTTAGCGAAACTTCTGGCATCGAAATGTGCATCCAAGGTATGCATTGGGGCCTTCGCTACATCTTGCAAGGAATAAAGCCTAAAATTTTTGAAGATTTGGCCACATGTGCTCATGATATGGAATTGAGTATGGCCACAAGTGGAGACCAAAGGTTTCCTGGCTTTGAGCCTTGTGATGAAATAGAAGCAGACGATGCTGAGAATAGGGGCAAATATTCATCCGAAGATGAAACTGAAGAGTCTATGCATGTTACAATGCTCCTTAACGCATGAGCTTAAACTGCAAGTCATGACGCTCTTTAACGCACGAGCCTAAACTGCATGTTGCTACGCTCCTTGACGTATGAGCCTAAACTGCAAGTCTCAACGCTCTTTGACTCATGAGCCTAAACTGCAAGTCACCACACTCCTTGACGCATGAGTCTAAACTGCAAGTTGCAAAATACTCCTCGACGCGTAAGCCTAAACTGTATGTCACAAAGTTCCTCAAATTCGAGCCAAATCTTTAAGTTATAGAACTCCACAAATTCAAGCAAAAGTCTTCAAGTTGCAAAACTCTTCAAATTCGAGCAAAAGTCTTCAAGTTGCAAAGCTCTTCAAATTTGAGCAAAGACCTCAAGTTGCAAAGCTTTTCAGATACGAGCTAAGACTTCAAGTCGCAAAGCTCTTCAAATTCGAGCAAAAGTCTTCAAGTTGCAAAGCTCTTTAGATTCGAGCTAAGACTTCAAGTCGCAAAGCTCTTCAAATTCGAGCAAAAGTTTTCAAGTTGCAAAGCTCTTCAAATCGAGCAAAGACTTCAAGTTGCAAACTTTTCAAATTTAAGCAAGTCTTCAAGATGTAAAACTCTTCAAATTTGAGCAATGTCTTCAAGTTCCTATACTCCTTGTCTGCACGAGTATAAACTGCATACAAAAGAAAAAAAACTTATACTTTATATAAACTACGTAATGACTTGATCCTCTTTGCTGGGGTACGTAGGCAACCTAGAGTTCATTCTAAGTTTAGTCACTTAAGCAACAAAAAAAAAAAATCAATGCCTTTTCACGATAGCCAAAGAGGATGCTAGCTCCATTTATGCACCATGCGCTTCTTTGGGCAAGTTAAAGAAGAAGTTACTCCACATCACAGCTTAAAGGATGATGCGCCATGTTTGCTTTCATCCAGCCGCATAGAAAAAAAAAATCTTCATGTGCTTCTTTCGATAAGGGTTGAAGGACGAGATGCTTTGCTAGCTCCATAACTCGAAATATGGAGCACTACATGTATCTTTTCATCAAGTTATGAGAAGGACGTTCTAGGCACTTCTTCACCAAGTTGCAAGAAGACGTGGTTTTATGCCAAAGATTGAAGGTTAGGACACTTCACAAACTTCCTCACCAAATTGCAAAAAGATGTGGTTACGCACAAAAACTTGAAGGTTAAGATACTCCATGCATTTCTCTGACAAATTGCAAGAAAAGGTGGTTCCATGCCAAAGATTGCTGGATGGCTGCTTCCCATACTTGCTCGCAAAGGATGAAAGAGCAGTACTCCAAGTGTCGATCTTGCCAAGCCGCAAAAGATGGGATGCGTCACATGCTTTCTTCCAAAGGTGAAAAGGAGTCGCTCCAAATGTCCCCTTCTCTAAGCCGCAAAAGTAGGAACACGCCATGAAATTCTCTCGCCAAGCGGTAATAAAGAGACGAATGGTTCGTTCCCAATCATGTGTACCTCTAGTGAATCTTCTTATGGATATCAAGATTGCTAATATTCTCTCAAAAAACTGCAAAAGAGAAAAGATTTTAGAGCTTCCCGGTGCCAATGGCACGAAGCTTTTGGTTATGTTTCTTTGATCGGTGCCAACGACACAGAGCTTAACAAGTACCGGTGTCAACGACACGATGCTTCAATGCGGATGGCGAATATTGTGACATGCACTTCTCTGCCAAACCTTGAAGGATGAAATGCTCCATAAATTATTTTGTCAAAGCCGTGAGAAGGATGCTCCATGAACTTCTTCGCTAAGTTGCAAGAAAAGATAATACACGCCAGGCTTGATGGATGAAAAGTTCCACGCACCTCCTCGCTTGCAGAAGGGAGAGTGTTGATCATTTACTTCTTCACCTGATCTAGGATGGAGAACTCGCCATAGACTTCTTCGCCAAATTGTAAGAAGAGGGTGCCATGAAACTCCTTCTAAGCCGGGGACGGAATGCGCGTCGTAACTGTGTGTTTGCCAAACCTCGACTGAAAAGGTGGATGCACCAAAATTTTGCCCTCCAATGCAACAAAGATGAGGATGAGCCAAGCTTTCCCTAGCCAAACCTACAACAAAAAAGTATGCTGCCCAAAAAAAATACCTCTTGATTCCTGAGCTTGATTCAAAAACTTATTGTGATTGGATCAAAAGGGTTAGGGCTTCAAGTTTTATATGTGTTGTAGCCCTGGTATTCTTCTTTTCAGCGATATAAACGACTCGTGATTTGGACCCTCCTATATCCTGAGATATGAATTTTTCGGCAAGAGTACGCAAAGCTGAAAGAGCCAGCACGTCAGAACTCGTCATGTAACTTCTGAATAGTATCTGGGACGATCTAGGAGCAACTGGATTGTGATCTTTACAGAAGTCGTAGTTCGGGAAGTCTAGTTTCCGTAGCCACAAACCGCTCATGATTTCGATGCTCCTATACCAAGATATGATTTTTTTGGTTAAGACGAGCAAAGCTGAAATGTCGAGCATGACAAAACTTGAACCAAGTTTAGGAAGCTCACCTGGGTTGATACAATGCGAATTTAAATCCAAATTTTTGATGCGTTGCAGCCGCAAACCACTCGTGATTTCGGCGTTACTACACCGAGATATAATTTTTTTGGTTAAGACGCGCAAAGCTGATAATTCCTAGCAGCAGCTGCAACAAAAAGAAAAAAAACGTTAGTCTGTCTTTGGAGAATTGAGCGACGAGGATTGTGTAATGCCAACTATTGAAGAGTACCTACTAAGACCAACCAAAAGGTGGTACTGCCGCTTTCATCAAAAGTGGAGGACTGATGCTATAGCAACGATACAAGGAGAAAGTGGCGAATTTATAGGAATAAGCAAGGGAAGAAACTAAGGAAATTCTTGGTTTTCAGGTTAATGACATATGTAAATAAGGAAATACCATGTCCGGTTTGTACATGGACAAGTTTGAAACCAGGAAACAAGGAAAAAAAGGGCAATTAAGGAAACTCCTTCGGCAAGAAAGAAAGGCAATTAAGGAAATTCTTTTGGCAAGAAAGTAGGAAAGTTTTCTCCCGTTGTTTTACCAAAATATATGGTTAGTCAAACTAGAAGTTTGCTCAACCAAATTAGGAGATGAAATTCATGCTCTTTCATATTTTTTAAAAAAAGGTACAAACTGGAGCCACGATCAGATAATTTGAGAATGAGTCATAGCAAAGTAGTACCCTTGAAAAGAAGGAATGTTCGAAAGGAAACTGCCAAAAAAAAGAGGCGCATCGGTACTTCAAGCATGTCTTCATGTTTCTGTAAGCCTACACCCCGACAAGCCTTGAAGCAGGGGGCATTTGTAGACAATTAAAATTATACTAAATTTAAATCCATAAGAAATTTTGATTTTATCATAAATTAAATACATACTAGTCAAAGTAAATATTATGAGCTAGTATGATCGGGTCAATTATTTAAATCTAATTTAATTGATTCAAATAAAGGTCCAATATTTTATTAGGCTAGCCCGTCAATTGGTCTTCTATCAAATGGGTCGGCCCATAAGCCTCAAGCCCAATGATCCACTAGGGTTTTCTTGGAGACTACTCCACCCCACACCTATATAAAGGGGTCAAAGGAGAAGGCTAAGACACAAGCAAGTAAGCAGAAGGAAAGAATAAAGAAGCTTTGAAGAATAACATCAAGGTCTCCATCCATATCTGCAATCGTCGTCTGTGGTCAAATTCCAAAGGCGAATTCAAATCTTCCGTTCGTGGTAACCCAACACCAAATCCTGGTTCGTGACGACCTTCAAATTGTTCGTGACGTACTACAAACCTGAAATCCGTCAAGTTCAAGATCAAACTCTCAATCTCTTGAACCATCAGCCATGAGGAGAAGAACCAGACGACTACATCTCTTTAGATTTTAGAGACATTTTAGAGATTGTAACCCCATCACTTGAAATCAAATATACTATTTGTCGCTATATTTCTTGTCTTGATTATTATTTTTCAGGAGCGAAATTTAGTTGTTACACTAGTATTCATTAATGAATAGAAATTCTGCTCTTCTTCTTCAAATAATAGATGAGCACATGTAACGGAAAATAGAATATATTACTTGATGATTATCTGGAATAATTGTGTGCAGCCATTTGCGTGGTAGAAATCATGTTGGGGCAACTTACGCGACTATAGCCGCTGAAGTCTTCCCTCACCCTACTCCCCTCCCGATGTAATCTTTTTTTGGGCTTTGTTTTCCATGTTTAATTAAATAGTGGAAAATAGAAAACTTAGTAGTTGAACATAGAAGTTCAATGGTCCTTGCTGCCTTCAAGGTACATGCCTGCTTCTATCCATTTAAGCCTGAGAAAATCACCTTATAACAGAGCACCATTTCCATGGTTATTACATAAGAGAAACTGAGTCTTTGAAGCATTAATCATTTATTGGTTCAATAGTATACAATGAATCTCAATGGTTCGGCGAAATCCAAGTGTTGTGTCTCTGATATCTTCTTTGGATATTGTTACCTAATACTCTATCTTAGACATATTAGGCTCCTGTTAGAACTGTAGACTGGTTTACTCTATTTTGCTCACTTGTATACATGGTTTCAGTACAACCCATGTACTGTTTTGTGCTTAATACATACACCATGTTACCTTCTCAAAAAAAAAGTATTTACTTTTCCCTTTAGTTCCTTCTCCTACTTCTGCTTTTGGTTATTGAAGTGTTGTCTACTTGCTGCTTTACTGACTAAATAGTAAACTTGGATAGAAATTTTCTTGGTCAACTCTTTAACTTTTCTTTTCTATTTTACTGGATAAACTAGGTTGTAGCAATAGGTGTAGATATGACTATATGAGTATGTCCAGGTAACAATGGAACTAGTCTGAAATATTTGGTCAATTGGAGAAAGATAAAGTATATCAAGACATGATGGTGTAGGATCAAGCTGACTCAGGATTTTATAGACCATGCATCCCTAATTAAGAAACAAGCAAATGTAATAGGAAAAAAATTGAAAAATTGTGAATTATTCATTGAGACCTTTCAATCGCAACTTTGATAATACTTGAAATCTTTAATCATGCAGCAATATCAGGGAAGGTTGTCCAACATAATCTGGTAGCAAAGTGCTGCCAGCAGAATAGGGAATTGAGCACCAAATATCAACTGCACTATTGTACCCTTAATAGGTGCAATTCGCTTCCTCCTGTAGGAGGGAAGTTGGCATGGAATGGCAACTCCACCATGCAACGGGGCGCATTGTCAAAATTTAGGCGAGGAGTTATTTATTGCAATGGTCTGTTCTAGACTCTTTATTCAGGTTGATCTCAGATTTGACCATAACTTTCCAGAGAATAGTTAGAATACCTAATTGTTCAGTTACTCCCTTTTCTTTGAATTTTTTTTATCCCTCCTCAGGAGCTCCCCACTTTCCCCCCCTGGTGATTCAAACCTGCAACCCTCAGGTTTGGAGGTGGAGGGTGCTTACAACTTGAGCAAACCTCTCTTTTCTTGTGTGCTTATTTCTGTTCTTAAATTGGCGATCTTTTGTTTTTTCCATGACATATGTCTACCTTTCCTATGATTAATCTCTTTGACTGCATAGTAAGCAATTCTCTCGTATATCCAAAATAATGCTAACACTTGGACCTTGGTGCAGCTGCCTCATCGGCCACTGCAATTCCGTTTGTTGAGAAAAGCGACTTTCTTAAGCTTCAGAATGGCAGGTAACTGGTTCTTGCAAATCATACTTGTCATCTTTTTTAGGCGGATAATTTGTCATGCATCTGCTTCTTTTTATATGTTCCAGAATTGGTTACTTGTATGGATGTAATATTCAATTGTTTTGCAATAGATCGGTGAAAAAGATAATTGATTTATTTCCACCTTGCATTTGCTATTCTATATAGCAAATGAATTGGCAAGTCTGGAGGAAAAGGGAAGGATGCAACAACAGCTGATTCTCCCTTTTTTTTTTTGCTTCTATGCAGCCTGGTGTTTCAATTAGCAAAAAAGTTATTATATGATCTGCAAGCAGTGAATCTCTTATTCTATAAAAGCAAGTGAATTGGTGATTATAGTGGAAAAAGAGAGAAGAATTCAAAGAGCAGCTGATCTTGCTTTTTTGCTTGATTTGTTTGATAGCCTGTTGTTTTCAATGTTGATACATCTGTTATGTTTAGTAGAGAATTAGACCATGCTTAGCTAATTATTTACATATTTTCAGTGCAGGTAAAAGTTTTTGCTAACTGAAGTTTCTTCATTCAAAAGCTTTTTTATCTGTAAAACTGGTAACTTTAGTAGAACAAAACTTGAAAGAATATATTTGAAGAATGCTTGTGTAGACATGCATTTAAGTAAATGAGAATTCCTATTGATCTTAGCTCCCTATGGGTGACTCTAGTATTAGCTTTTCTATAAATATCCACTTTTTCTTTGGTTTTATCATTTGACTGTAAGTCTTCAAGGTTTGCATGCTATATGGAGTTCAACTATGTTTGCCATTTGATAATTAAAATCGAAGCATAATACAGTAGAGTTTGTTTGAGAACATGACTATGCTTTCATTTAGTATCATCTTTAATATAGAATACATCTAGGATGACCTGTGATGCAAGACCATGGATACCCATCCATTTATGATGTAACTAACAAACAGTTATTCATAAGTTCCAAGATGATATATTCTTCTGTATTTACGCAGTGATATACGTGGAGTAGCCGTTGATGGAGTTGAGGGAGAACCTCTTACTCTCACGGAGCCAGTTACAGAAGCAATAGCAGCAGGGTTTGCTGGCTGGTTGAAAAAGAAATATGATTCTTCTAAACGTCTAAGAGTCTCCATCGGTCATGACTCACGAATTTCTGCGCAGAAGTTGCAGGTATTAACCCTATATTAGAAAGTTAAGCTGTATACCCTTTCTTAATCATGTAATTTCAAACATTATGAGAGGAGAACATTTCCTTGCTTTTTGGTAGTCTTAGTTGCTATAGGTGATAGCCTTGTGTTTTTTCTTGGATGCAGCTAACATTTCTTAGCATAACAGGTAGAGCCTTGCTGTAGTATTACTTTTCCAATTGATAGAATTCATTACTCCTATTTTAGATTCCCGGGAAAGCATGCTAGCTTTGAAGTGACCAGGAAGCTAGTACAGGATTGTCTTCTGGTACTTCTTTTTTAACAAGTATAACAATGATAAAGCTCACTGAAAAGGACATTAGGGTCTCACTATGGTGATCTGTTTGACTCCTTGTTGAAATCCTGCCACCATCATTGTGTGTGGTCTCTTCATTTCCAGGATAAGCATTCACATTGAATGGGGTGGGATTCTACTTATTTAGGGAATAAGGGGGTAAGCTTAGCCATTATTACTTTCTCTCTTTTCCTGCGATCCCATACCCTCACATCTGTGTCCTCTTTATTAGTAGCTGATTTCAAGTTGATCTGACTGACAACTAAAATTCGAGATACAATGGGGGTTGGGGATAAAGGATAGACACGTAAATCTTTTCACTTCCTCGTTCTGCTTGCTTACCCATGCCCTCTCCATTGTGTCCACTTGCTAATCTAGTGAAGTTTGAACACTTAAATGGAAACAAATGTGAAGTTAGGGGGTATCTCAAGGAGAGGATGCGCCCCTCCTTCTGTGGCCTAGAGTTTGTTGGTACAATTGATAACTAAAAGGAAAAAAATGACCTTTTACACTTTTAAACAACATATAACTGAGAATAACGGTAAATAAATAAATTCAAAAGCCGAAAACTGGTATTGTTCTTAATCTCCCCTTCTCTCCTGTTCCATAACTCTCTTTCACTGAAAAGAGTCATGTCAACTTTGGTACTCGCTTTCAACAATTTGGGTATCAATTGGTGCATGACAAGATCTATTTTAGAATTTCTGCATGCATGGCAAATGGAAGGCATTGCTGAACCTTTTCTTACTACTTGGAACACCACGCTGTCGTATGCTGGATTATTTGGAAGAAAGAAATGCTAGATTTTTTTAAGACAAGAATGATAATGTACTTAAGCTCAAAAGCAATTGCATTTTTTTGCTTAATATTTGTTGCAACTTGACAGTGGTAAATCTGTTAGAGCCTGATGCCATGCTTTACTTTCCCTGTTTATTGTACTCCCTGCAATGCTCATACTCTTTTGAATGTGCTCTCTTTCAAGTATTTTGCTGGCATAAATTAATAAACTTTTTCTATAAAGTAATAAACTTTATTAATGTTTGGGCAAAAAAGCTTCATATACAAGAGGTATACCAAAAAGTAGAAAACCTACAAAAATAACACCCAATCTTCTATACATGTAGGAACATTATGGGTGCACCAAATAGAAATAAGGGATAGAGGCTCCTCAATTGCTACAAATTCAACTCTACACCCTCAAGCTCTCCTATTTCTTTCTTTCAAAACGACCCACACAAGTGCTAGAGGAGCAACATTCCACACCTTGTGTCTTCTCCTTCTTCTACCACAATTATAGCTGATTGTTACCTTTTCCAGACATCACCCAAAATTTTCGAAACCATCTCATGATTTTCCACCATAACCTCGAATCTACCGGACAATGTAAGAGTAGATGGTTGCCATCTTCACCCTAGCTCTTGCCCAGAAAACGCCAACTGACATAGTAATCTCTCTCTTGCTCAGATTCTCAGCCCAAAAAATAAGAAAGAAGAAACCTGATAGTGGTTGTCTCCACTAGCTTATATGCATTCCTTGTTGCTTTTACATGGAAACGATTTGGAGCACCTTTCTCTTAGTTTGTTCACTTTGCTTTGTTACAATGTGTAATAACTTCATCAATGTCTCTTCTTGTCTATCCTTTTAGTGACTGCAGGGTGAACATACATGTAAAGGTATTAGAAAGCCAACAGTTTCTACAGTTCACTTTGTCTCCTATTATAGGCTCCTGTCTAAAAGAAAAAAGAGATAAAATAAGCAAAGGGGAACAACAACAAAAACAACGACAACCCAGTAAAATCCCACAAGTGGGGTAAAATAAGCAAAGGGGAAAAAGAAGAAAAAAGAAAAAAGAAGCATCTCTTGCTTCTTTGGAGGACTCCTACTTCTACAGGGAAAAGAATTGTAAGCCTGAGGGCATTTTCTATTAGTTTGTTCACTTTGGCTTAACTATGGGGTGTTACACTTAAACCTGGCCTCTCCTTTTTCTAGTTCATAATGGCTGTAGGAACAAGATGCATCCAAATGTAGTGTATTATGATGACATTCTAGTTCATAATGACTGTAGGAACAAGATGCATCCAAATGTAGTGTATTATGATGACACTGAATGTATTAGAAGGCATGTTTATCAGTTTTGTTTCCTATTAGCACCTTTTTTTAATTCCAAACAGGTCAAGAAAAGTGAGCGCCTTTGAGGTTTTACATCTTTAGAACAATGTTTCATGGTTATCTGAAGTATAACCGTGATTGTTTGTATATATCTCAATCACTTGCTACAATCCATCTTACATTCTGGAAAAACCCTAGGTAAAGCATCCTTCACGCCTTTAATTCAAACAGGCGAAGAAAATAATTTCTTGATGTGGACTCGTGTAGTTAAGGACTTCTTGGTGTCATACTTGTAGTTTTAGTTCCTTGTTCTTTCATTCATGTGATATATATGCAGCTTTGAGCTATGTTAAGATGAAACGGATGAATTTACCTGGAGATTTTGAAGAAAGAAAAAAAACAATCTCTTACTGTAGATCGGTGGAGCTTTTAAGGACCTCTTGTGCAGTGGCCTTCATGGACTTGTACTTTTAGTTGGCTTTTCTTTCATTTGTGTGGTGCATATGCAGTTGTGCACTTTATGTTAAATCAAAACAGAATAATCCACCGGGAGATAATGGAAAAATCAAAATAGAGCAAGTTCTTGCTATAGACTATTGTTGCTGTTAAGGATTTCTTAGTGTGGTGACATTCATTCTCTTGTACTTTTAGTGCATTATTCTTTCATTGACGAGGTACATTGCTGTTGTACACGTGTTCTGCTGTTGATTAAGGCTTGGATTGCTATCTTTCAGGATGCAGTTTCTCAAGGACTTGCTAGAGCTGGAGTTGAAGTCATCCAGTATGGGTGAGTGATGCTTTTCTTTCTGTCCTACTTGTATCTAATATGTGCTGACTACAGATGCTTTGCTCATCTAACCCAGACCTAAAAAAAGGGGATTCAATCATTTTAAGGTGATATCTGATTCTAAGCTCTGTTGGTTGCTGTAGGGCCTAAAGAAAGACCTTTTAAAGATGAAACTGAAAAGCAAGTTATAGTTTCAAAGAGACCCAAGGCATCTGAATATTCCCCCCTCCCCGCAGCCATAGTCAAATCGTTAGTTCATAATGAATCTTCGTATTTGTCCTTATCAAATTTCAAAAAAAAAAAAAAAAATCATATCAATGACCATTCCCTAACGATTTATACAAAAAGGGTATCTAGCAATTCTGTTGTTCATTGTCCGTTTGGTGTTTGTCCTGTAATCTATAACCGATAGCTCAACTTGTTCTTTGCTCATCTTGAGGTGCTGGTTTGGAAAATTTCTTCACGAATACTGGTTAATCGGTTCTAAAGCTGATTACCCATTTTCCATTTTCTTGTTTTTCTGAAAAATAATTATGGATATGGTTGGTTGAAATATCTTAGGTTGATACAGATGTAACTGAACGTTTGGTCCTTCATACAGCACAATGCTGAATTATGCCATCCAATTAGTCATACCTCGATTCAAATATGTACCAAGACAACCTGCTTCATTCGAAACTCATCCTTTCTTATTTGGTTTGTGTGTGCACTTCTAATTAAGATATGTCTAGAAATGTTGTTGCAAGATTAAAGAGATTAGAGATATAGGTGCATATTATCTTTCTCTGGTTTAAATGCTTATTTGATCAAGTGCCTCCTGCTCTTCCTAAGCAGTGACTCAGTCAAGTGATGACATACCTAACAATAGCATCTTTCTTTATTTTTCCCCTATTTCCCAAGGTAGATTGGCATCCACACCAGCCATGTTCAACAGCACTCTTACAGTAGATGAAGAATTTTCCTGTCCAGTGGATGGCTCCATAATGATTACAGGTGAGTGCATGAATTCATTCTCTAGTATGGTTTGAGATGCAAATGCAACAATGCTTTTATCCTTGGAGGTGTAGATTCTTTATACTCTCTCTTACTTGCAAGTGGAGAAGGACTGCTGCTTCTCTTGTAGCTAGCTCGGTTCACTTTGGGAGTTAATACAATTTGATATTAATGGAATTGGCTTAATGCTGGCTGGATAATTCTCTTATATGCTAATTTTATTTGAACAGCAAGCCATCTTCCCTACAACAGGAATGGGTTCAAATTCTTTACACGTGCTGGAGGTCTTGGAAAGCCAGACATCAAAGATATCTTGGAGCGAGCTGCAGAGATATACAAAAATATTGCAAATGAAGATTCTAAGGGGGCGGAAACAGCTGTTTCTCTATCTGTTAAAAGAGTGGATTACATGTCCATTTATGCCTCTAATCTTGTGGCAGCAGTCCGCAGAGCTGCAGGAAATATAGGTACTTCTACCATGCTTCTGGATCAATGTCAATGTCTCGAGGAGAAGGATGCAAATCACAAGGATATATTTGTGATGGCTACTCCAATTACACTGGGGATTTCCATCTTGGTGTTGACCTGCGATTAAGAATCTCTTTTTAAAGAGTTTCATGAGCTTCCAACTAATAAAAATATCCTGACTTTCTTCAAAGCATCTACAATTGTTTCTCTAACCCAGTGTTGTTGTGGTTCTTGCTAGTGCTCATGTCATCTTTCTTCTTTTCTTTTCCTTCTTTTCACGGTGCAATTCTCAGAAAAGCCACTGGAAGGATTCCATATCGTAGTTGATGCAGGGAACGGAGCAGGGGGATTCTTTGTAGTAAGTTTTTATCTTTATAGTGTGTCTTGACAGTTTTGCCTCCCATACACTACATGAAAACCTTCTGATCCAAGAAAAGTTCTAGCCACAACATACAAGAAAAAAAAAAGATAACGTGGTGTGTATATGTGTGTCTTGTGAGAGTTTGTGTGTGTGGTGTTGTTAATAGGGCTGACGCTATTTCCATAACCTAACATGCTTATCCCGACTATTTTTTATCAATTGCCACAGCACCCTTACCAGAATTTATCTGCCCCCTCCCACCTCCATGCCCAAGGTCGAAGATATAGCTCCAACTTCTTCTAATTTGATGTGAGTTATTGTCTGGTATCTTTGCTAGCTTCTTGTTTTGGAACTGTGATATAGAGAACCAGTTATTGGTAATATTATTCTCCAAATCCTTGTTTGCACTACGCGGCTAATTGACAACTACTCAGTGCTCTGATGGTTTAACTGTTTCTTTGTTGTTGTGTTAAGATTAGCGCGATTATCTCAGTGTGATCTTTCTGTAGTTGATTGGCTATGTAGTTACCATTGTCCGTCTCTGCAGTCACTGACNATGTACCAAAAGATATTGCTATACTTTCTCTTAGCCACCATGCCAACGTGATGCCCACTTTCCTGATCTTCAAAACTTTCCTTTACTCTCCATTACTTTTTAATATTATATACCCTGCAAAAGTGAAACTGCATATCATACTCCTAAAGTTATCAAAGTTACAGCATTATATTTTCCATTAAGTCCACTTTCTCTGAAATGCATTGTAATTCAGCTCTCTATATCTGTGCCTGCCTTTTTGGTCAAATTAAGATGGTTACATTGGAAAGGAGGGAGTATGTTTTTACTTGATATACTGTCTGTCAAATCTTGTCACTGTGTAAGGGACTAAAATGCATCAGTAGTTGTTAACTGAAACTGCACAGTGGAGCAGGGCACTTAAGGATCATGTAAAAGCCCTTTAAGACATATCGAAGTCTGTTTATCTGCTTACTTTGTAACATAAAATATTCTCAGTGTATATCAACTTTATCTTTTTCCACTGTTTCTCTTTAGATGCTTTCCCCACTTGTGGGATTACACTTGTTGTTGTTGTTGTTGTTGTTGTTGTCTCTTTAGATGCTTTGATCATTGTTTTATGTTGCTGGATGTTCAGGGAAAGGTGCTTGAGCCTCTGGGTGCTATTACTTCTGGTAGTCAGTTCTTGGAACCAGATGGTAAGATATATCCTGCAATTTTCACATAACAGATTTGTATACTATTCTTGCTAATTATTTGNGCTAATTTTTTTATTCTCATGCTAGGTTTGTTTCCCAATCATATACCTAACCCAGAGGATAAAACAGCCATGAAAGCTATCACCAAGGCAGTACTCGATAACAGGGCTGATTTGGGAATCATCTTTGATACAGATGTTGACAGGTGACGTGCCATATAGAAGTATTTGCTTTCAGTGGAGGTGGTCGCTGGTCAGTTTCCTTTTCTGATATGTGTTTTGGTCAGGTCTGCAGCTGTGGATTCGAGTGGTCGTGAATTTAACCGAAATCGTTTGATTGCTTTAATGTCTGCAATTGTTTTGGAGGAAGTGAGTCTCTCTTTCTGACAAAGGTCTTTAGAACTTTTTGGTTTAACAAGCATCTAAACTATTTGCTACTTCTGTTAATGTTTGACCAGCATCCTGGGACCACTATTGTCACAGACAGTGTTACATCAGATGGGCTGACAACATTTATTGAAAAGAAACTAGGTTAGATGATAAGTCAAAGTCACCTATGGATACCCTTGTGATGAGAATCATTGCTAATTTTAATGATATTATGACAGGAGGGAAGCATCACAGGTTCAAAAGAGGATACAAGAATGTAATTGATGAAGCTATTCGTCTGGTACGATTTGGTTATTTGATGCATGGTTCTTATAGTAGCGTTTCCAATGGTCCCATGGTCTCTGTGAACATATTAGCATGCCTATTATAAGATGGATCTTTTCATGGTTTTATCTGGTTCCTTAGATTGTCCAACTAATTGCCTACTGTCTCAGATAGCAACATGATGTCTTTGATAGAATTGTTTGGACTTTGTTTCATGTGTTTGTGATGGTCATGTCATAGCTTTCTTTTATTCACTTTTCTATGGTGAAAGAAAAACATTCTCTTCAAAACAATAGTAGTTGTAGTTTTTTTTTTCTTGATCCAAATCTAGTGTCCTTCGCATTTCAGATTATACTGAATAATCTCCACTTACCCCCCAATAGAAGGGAGAAAGAAAAGAAGTCCTTTTTATTTTTCTTGAAAAGGATACGTTTCATCCTACATAATATTCAATACTTTTGACTCCAGAAAGTTGTAGGAGACTGCTTGTGCTTTGCAAACTATTTTGCTTTTAGTAGAGAAAAAGGTGAGCTCTAATCCCTGACCTCCGTGTAGCATTTAACATCTTATTTCAAACTTTAACATTCTGTTTTTAATAGATGGATTTACTAGTTTCTACCAAGAATTTTGTGCCGTGCTAAGTCCTTTTATGAATTCTCCAACTACACAAACATGTGTTGATAACTTTAAGATCCCTCTAGTTTTAGGAGATACTGCTGATGTCGCCCTACTATGTCCTAAAAGGAACTAAGTCTTAGCTATCAAATATAATTATCCGACCAAAGTTCGGGGTTGAATTCACAGGTAGCAGTGTGGGAAATGAAGATGTTTAAAATTACCAAGTCCTTTCTACAATGCCAATCAAATTGTAAACAAGCGATTAAAACTAACTGAAATGAACAAGTAACATAGAGCAAGTAGTATCTAGAAAACAGGTTGAAAACCAATATATTTAGGTAGTTGAGATTTCACCCCACCTCTATTGCCTAATTAATGGGTTAATTTAGCTTTTAATTTACTTGAAATATTGCTATGGTCAATACTAATTACCCAGTAGAACTCCCATCCCAATGGGTCTATCTCAATTAGCTTGGAAGCTAATTGAGATGCTCTAAGAGCAAATTGACTAATACCCAAGGTAGAAATAGATATCTGTATCTTATTTCCATGTATCCATTTACCTTGCCAGTATTACCCTGATGCTGAAACCACTTTCCCAAATAAGAATTAAGATAAATGGACATCAATCAAATGTTGGTCACAAGCATAGAGTTAATAACTAGATAGCAATAAAATCAAGCAAATTCAAGCAATTAATTAAATCCCCATTAATAGACAATAGATTTGGAATAAAATCGCAACAAGGGTTTTAGTTACACATAATGGAAATTGAAACAAAACTGAAAATTAAGTAACAAACATGATGGTGACGAGGGCAAAACCGATGTGTAAAAACTGAAACTTGCTAGTCAAAGATAGCATAGAAAATTATCGTTTCCACAAGGATTGGTTTAAACAATGTTCAAGTAAATTTATGGCCTGTCGCTATTCAGGATGAATCACACTTTTCATTTGAATTGATTAATGACTACAATTATTAACTAAAATTATGATTAAGTAAATTCGATCACACAAAACTAGAGAGTGCAGCTAAAGCGGGTTGTTATCAATATGAGAAATAATGATCATGATGCGAAAGGTACAAGATTGATATCCCGGATCTAGCTTTGTTCAATTTTACTCTTGAAGGTTTATTAATTCTCACGAATTCAACAAGTGATTAGCTTATTCTTATGGTCAAGATTCTTCTTTCGAATAAACCTAAATCTTATAAATAAACTAATGTGAAGTGCAGTGAAATATGCAAGAATCTCGTTGGTAGGAATGGACTAAAAGAAACTTCTTGCGAATTTTCTCAATCTTAATTCAAATGGTAAATCACAAAGCTCTTTCGATTACTTTAAAGAATTACCAAAGTAAATTAAGGCATTCGTTGCAACAATATTCAATAAGATGTTCGTTTTCAATTAATCAGATAAAGAATAAAGTCACAACTAAGATTAAAACTCCTCCAACCAATTCAAGCGATCAAACATGAGTTAAATTCATGAACAACAATCAAGTCACTAAATCATGTCAAACCCTAAGGTGAACTACTCCATAACAATTGAGAAAGTCATCCCAAAATAGTTAAGAAACATAAAAATCATCCAAACCAACTTTACGTTCCAAAATCTCGTCTTGAATCGATCGTTTATGAGAAAACTGGTGAAAATCTCGTGTTTTTCCTCCTTGGTCGCTTTCCAATAGCTTCCTCGGTCGAATCCCCCTTCAAAATCGTGCTTACAGTGTATTTATACCGTGTAGGAATAAACCCGAACCAAAATACCCTCTCTAAACCTAAAAGGGGAAAGCCAACCGCCATTTTGCACTGGCGATACGCTAGTGCAAGACCCTACGCGGCACGCTAGTGGGACTTTTCAGAGAAGTGCTTTTTTCATCAGTCTGCTACTTTTCTCTTGCCGCGTCCCCTGCGTGGTTCCCCACGCGGCTCGGTAGTGTATTTCTCTGCGCTTCCGATTTTTCTTCACTTTTGAACATCCAGACTTGGTCCTCGAACCCCGAACATGATCCCGGTTTGATGCTTTGGTCTTTTACTCAGACTTCGAAGCTCCAACTCATCCGTTTTAGCTCCAACCATACTTCTCAACTCGGAATCACTTCCTACAAGGCACAACCCATGTAATAAGTATAAAGTACTATCAATTTAGCTCAAACACGATTAAACTGCAGCAATTAGAGTGCAAAATGTAGCTAAAAACATGTGTTCCTACCTACCATCAATGGGTGAAGAGAACTAGGTACAAAATGGCAAACTACAATGTTGAATTCCTCCAAAATTGAAGTTAACATGCTTCCCAAGTCTCCAAACCCTTGTTCCTCAGCTTCCCAGCTTCAAAGATATTAAAAATAACCCTAAACGTTCTATTTATGGTTAATTAAAACAAATAGTAAAGTTGCAAAAAATGTCCCTCCGAACTACTACACCACGGACCCACATTATTCTGTGATCTGCAAAATTCCTCTTGCTAAACTTCTGAAGTTTTCCTTCTGCCTGAAAGCGCAGTCCGCACTTTAGACCTAGGTCCGCAAAATAATTTGATCAAAAAGCTGCTCTCTGAATCTCCACTTCATGGGAGCATTTTCATTTTGCCTCAGCATAATTGCAACTGCAAAGAGTATGTTCTGACTCTTAAAATCATGGGCCCCATTCTTGCTTCACTGAATATGTTGACTTGGGCCTAATACTGACTCTGATCTGCATTCTGCGTGTTGTTTCATGTTCGGCAGTTCTTCTTTTCTTCTTGCTTTCAGCTTTGCTTCCTCGAAATTCATCTTCAAAGCTCTAAAATGTAAAATCTAAATCTTCATTTCTTGGCCTCTTTTCTACGCGATTTCCGCTTCCTCGGCCATCTACACTCTTCTTGATGAAACCAAGCAATTTATGCCATAATTATAAACTTAAGATGTTAAAACTTAAGTAAAAGACAATGATAAGTTGGCCAAAACCCCACTTATCAACTGCTTTCATTTAAACTTTGCATACTTCTATTGGAAAGTTTTTGAACTTCATTCACTTGGGGTGATACCCCAGACCCCACTTGTGGGATTACACTGGGTTTTTGGTTTAACTTGGGTTGATAAAGCAACCTGAAACACGAACATGTGAGTTTATTTCTAATAATTGTGCACCCTCTTCAATACAATCACAACTTTCAGGATTGAGTGTTGAGATAAACTGGAATCCTCTGAGAACTAATCATCTTTTTCTGAACGAGTTTAGCCTAGTATAGTACATTTGAATTTGCTGAAGTTATCAGCATGAGGAAACTACACCCTCAAGCTTTGAAACTGTGAAACACTTGTATGCCTAAATAGATGGCTTATGACTCTTGCCATTACTTTGCTTTTTTAATTTTTGGATTTGGATTGAGTTGAATGCATCAAATCTTTGCTGCCAAGCTTTAAGTTGCTCTGAGACAGATTGTACTTAATAGTAGAATGTTGACAGAACTCTGTTGGTGAGGAAGCACATTTGGCTATTGAAACTAGTGGCCATGGAGCTCTAAAGGAGAATCATTGGCTTGATGATGGTGCATACCTTATGGTACATTTCTGCCAAAACTGGTCCCTGGCTTCTAAGATTTTTGTTGTCGGTACGTTTTCTGAATCTTGTTTGGTTATGTTCCTCACTTGCAGGTGAAGTTACTGAATAAGCTTGCATCAGCTAGAACATCGGGACAAGGAAGCGGCAGCAAAGTCTTGACTGACATGGTGGAGGGTCTTGAAGAACCAGCTGTTGCTGTTGAACTTAGACTAAAGATCGATAATCAATCAGATCTTATAGGAGGGTATGCTATTTGTCCTTGCAATTTAATTTGGCTGAGCTTAGTGTGTTTCTGTAAATTAAGGAACATGCTTGTGCCTCCAGATCCTTCCGTGATTATGGGGAAGCAGTGTTGAAGCAGCTTGAGAATACAGTTGACTCAGATGCTAAGCTTCTAAAAGCACCTGTTAACTATGAAGGGGTAAGCTTTTAGTTTAGCTGTTGTCGTCCTTGCAGAAGCAGATCAAGTTACTTTTTTTTACCATTGATTTATTATTATGTTCCTTGAAATTGGAGCACACCGAGCAGCAACTGCTTATGGCCAGCATATTTCATTTGTTTAGTCGTTGTGGTAGTCGTTGCATGTGCTGAAATCATCATATGTATCCTGCTGTTGGTCTGAAGTTCATTAGCTGTAATCTGCTAATCCCTGGATATCTACACAAGTATATTTGCGATTAACAGTCACCAGATTATTTTGGTTTTGATGACAGGTTAGAGTTTCTGGTTATGGAGGGTGGTTCCTTCTAAGACTTTCACTACATGACCCTGTTCTACCCCTTAATATTGAGGTTACAACTATTCCTTTTGAGTATTTCTTGAGCTCTTGCAATTTTCTGCGAGTACAAATATCTGATATAGACTATATATCATTTTAGGCACCAAGCAACGAGGCTGCTGTAAAACTTGCTCATGATGTGCTTAATGCTGTGAAAGAGTTCACCGCCCTTGATACCTCCGCCTTGACTAAGTTTGTTGGAGCATGAGTATGAGCAGTTGTGCTTGCATTTATCTGTTATCTAGATGATCATCAACGTTTGGACAACCTGACCACGGGGCCACTGATGTGTTTTTGGATCTTTCATAACTTGGAAATGCTGGCATAGAAAAGTTTTCTTTCACAAATCAAGAGCTGTATGTAATAAAGTTATACTGTCTGCAAACAACATAAAAATGTGAATGATAGGTACCCAGAGACAGTTGTGATTACTTCGTTTATATTAGTTGTTTGGTGCATCCTTTACCTCAAGGAATACAGATATCCAAGGCCGATTGGAACTTTGCCTTGAATAGGACTCCATTATGGTTTGTCAACACCAGACATCATGTAGAAAGAAAAATCTGTCCTTGCTACACACTTCAACCTGGGGGAACCACGAAACGATGCTCAAGTCTCCATTTCTGGTTATAGGAACAAGTTGATGGGCTATATAATAAATTGTATTACTACTTTTGATTTTTGTATCCTATTTCTGAAAATATAAAAAAATGAAATTCAGTAGTTAACTCTTTGGGGGTTTTTTCGTCTTTTTTTTTCTTCTCTTGGAGGATATGGGTAGAGTGAAATTGAAAATTACCATGAAACTTGGACTATTCTGATGAGTTTGGAGGTTGTTATCCGTCAAATACAAGAATTTAAGCAGGAGTTTTGGTTATTCTTATTTTCAATTGCTTTGAGATCGACTTGATTCAGGGTGTTATTATCCTGCATATGCTTATTTTATTTTTATAATTTTTGTTTTCAAAAGGGATATGTACAGGGTTACCAATAGAAATCAAAATTGTTACCCTGATTTTACCTATACAAAATAATTATGCGACCATATCCATATATTGTTTCGGTATATATGTATACTATTACAGTATGTTGTTGCAATATAGCTATATACTCTATTATTGTGTACTCTTGCAGTATAGTGTGATACAATAGCAGTATATTATTGGGTAAATATATTTCTATTTAAATTTCAGCTAAAAAATTGCATATTGTTATAGTATATCGTTTCGGTATATATGTATACTCTTACGGTATACTATTGCAGTATAAATTGTATACTCTTATGGTATATTTTGATACCATAGCGATATATTGTTTAGTAAATGTGTTTTTATTCACATTTCAGCTGAAAATTGCGTACTATTACTATATACTCCTTCCATTTCAATTTATGTGAACTTATTTCTTTTTTAGTCTATGCTAAAAAGAATAACATCTTTCCTTATTTGGAAACAATTTACCTTTATGCAATGATTTATACACAAAATATATGTGCTTTATTTTACACCACAAGTTCAAAAATCTTCTCTCTTTTCTTAAACTCAGTGCCCAGTCAAATGGGTTCACGTAAATTGAAATAAAGGGATTATCATTTTGTTTGCTGTTTCTTTTTAGAATCTTTTTTTTTGGTCATTAGATTGTGTATCATATAATAAGTCTAGTAGAAATAATAATCCTCAAAGTTAGTTAATTGCTAGTATGCGGTTGCAAAGTTAACTTATCCATGGAGTTCATTAACGAGATGTTTTGGATCGAGGGCAGAGGTGGAGCTAGCCTATAGTGTGCGGGTTCGGCGGAACCCAATCACTTTTGCTTAAATGTTCTATTTATACTAGGAAATTCCTGAAATATGTATAAATATTTAATTGTGAACCCAGTAACTAAGACGAATTGTGGGTTCTGTGGAAAATTTAGAACTCATAAACTTTAAATTCTGGCTTCGCCTCTGATCGAGGGATCTTGTATGAATGCAGGGGAAAAATGTACAAAGAAGCTCTTGAAGCCTTCAAACAAAAGCACATATGATGAAGAGATGAATAACGCGCAATGTAAGAAAATACAGGAGAGAAAACACAAAAAGACAGAAAGTAATTAGCCGGCCAGATTCAATATTTTTTTTTAGTTGATTCACATAAAGATATAACAACAATTATACATATAGTACACATGAAATATACATATATTATATATTCGCCAGCTATATCTAATTTAAGAGATTAGATGGACAGTAGTACGTTTCGCCTTCTGGAGTAACAAATATGAGGCTTGAGTTTACTAGTAACGGTCTTTGAAGGAGGTGATATTTACTTTGCAAATTGTATGAGCAACTATAGGATCTTTTCAGAAAAGAGATACTCATAGGGAAGTTAAAATGGAAAACTAACCTTTATATCTTTCAGTCCGATAATTATGTGAAAAAGAGTGCAAAAACTGCTACTCTAAGGGTGCTTTCTAATAATAAATCAACTGCCATTGGTTTGGTAAGCATTATACAACAGAAACATTGTAAAGAAGAGATTTTGACTAAACTAATACAATAATTACAGCCACTGCTCCCTTAATTTCACATTAATATACAAGTATCACACACCCCAATTGTTTACTAAACTGTCTTATATGTCCAGTAGTTTCATCAATAAATTGAACTGCATATTTGGGGATGTCTTGGGTTGAGGCCAGTTTGCTCCTTCTGGCACTTTGATGATTCTGAAGCCTTCTCCTATATACAACTTTATGGCTCCAGGGTTGCTAGTGTCACAATGTAAAGCAATTGCACGGCATCCCCAGCTTCTGGCTTGTGCCTCCGCTTTAGTTATGAGTTTTTTCGCTATGCCTTTTCGGCGGTATCTTTCCCGGACTGCAACATTTGATATATAGGCAATTCCTTTCCTGTAAAAATTGTTAATGCCTTGCATAAGATGGAAATCATGTTCAATGCAAAACCAGTTGAGCAAAGAACTACAATGGTTTCATCAGCTTTTGAATGAGTGGATGTCATGTCAAAAAGTATATGGATACACAAATGCACATAAAGAGAAAGGAGTAGAACTCCACTCAAGCGGATGGACTAACCTCCCGATCCCATTACCGAGTATTTGTTTCTTAATCATGTTTTATATCCATCCCCTTTATTTCTTCAGTACAAGTAATCGGTACCCTCTAGTTCTATTTCTAACTAAGGCAAACGACCAACTACGGAAGCCATACAAACTCTCTTTCTTGTGAGCAAAAAGGTGTACTGGCTATTTGGGTTGTGAAAGAGACCAGTTGGTTAATGTTATGAACTCCCTTGTCTCATTTCGCATGATGGTATTTGATTAGAGATGGAGTTTAAGATATTAGTTAAGTTTATATATTATATTAGTGATGGTAGAAGAAACTTATTAATAAAATGGTTGCAAAGTGAGTGCACTCCACAGTTATGGGGTTTAATGCTAAACATTCTGGGGATTCACAAGTCTATGCCTAGATCAGGGAAGGCAACTTCTTTTGTGTCGAAACAAGAGGGGACTGAAGAAAGCAGTAGTTGAAGTCAAGACTCTTATCCCAAATAGCGAAATAGCATCGGTGTATTGACTATCATAACAGACAGTGTTTTGAGGTTCCATCTTTCCATACAGGAAAATACTATAGTAATTTACAATCATTAAGCATTTAAAGATCACCTAATGCCTAATCCGATGTGCTTTCAAAATGTGGCCAATTAGAAAGCTTTAGAGATCTTCCATACAGCATGACCCTAGACCAATCGAATAGTAAATTATAGTAACGGTTTACTTCTAGCATATATTTAGTGAATCTGATAATAATGGTTCGCCAAAAGATGGATTATTAGATGGACAATGCCAGGAAGACCTTATGAACTTTTGTCTAGTTGGAACACTAGGGGAAGCTCTACATCTAACAAATACAGATGGAAAGTTGTCCCAGAAGCTATTTGGTGGACTGTTGGAAAGAGAGAAATTCAAGATGTTTTGAAGATGCAAGTAGCTCTACACAGAAGATCAAGATGAATTGTATTCTTCTTTTTAGTTTTTGGTGTAAACAAGAATATATAGATGATCAGTTTTCAATCTTAGAAGAACAAGGATTTTTGGTTTCTGCTTTTTGTTTAAACATTTCAAGATGTAAATTTTGGTTACCAGTACATACAGACGTGCTGATGATTTCATTAATATATTGGATATGTTACCTTCTCAAAAAAATGGTTAGCCAAAAACTAGAATTTTATGGAAAGACCATTTATTAAAATAATCTCCATCCCTCTGATTAGTATCCAAAACATAACTGACCTTCTCTGCCGCAAGGGTCCTTTTCTCGGAAGGAAATCAGCTACAGTATCCACGGTCAATATTCCAGTCACATAGCCCTTATTGAGACTCAATCGCCCGTCAAATCCTCCAAGTTTCAATTCTTCTGTACCTATTAAGCAAGCCTCTTCATCTCTGCTGCCAACCACAGCAACAAGACAAGTTCTCTTGCAACCATTAGGTATGGAGAATCCAAAAAGCATAGCAATCAGCCTGTCAATTCTCAACACAAAATCTAGGGGGAAGGCGTATTCAGGGAAGAAGGAGCTACAGTGAGTCTCAGCTACTTCCCAGCAGTCCTCTACCCTGGCTTCCCTTACAAAAACCTCAGGTGATGTCGTTGGGAAAAGCTCAGCTATTTGACTGGCCCTACATAGACCTGTAAGAGAAGAAATCACTCAATTAGTTCTAGAAGAGAATGATAAGCCCAAGTTACGTGGCAAAACCATTTGAGCATATTGTAACATAAATACACATTACATATTGCACAACCCTGATTTACCTTGCATTGATTTAAAGTAAATAGAGATTCTTTCTATTTCTAATATAACCAAATGTGAAGTTTGTTTGAGTGAGTCATCCTTCCCCATTAAAAGACAAGGCTAGAGGATATTACATGACCATACTATACATACTCTCAATCACCGCTCAGGGACACTACTACACATCTTGACAGTCATAATAGTTACACATTTGCTGTAGCCTAACTTCACCATTTGGAGACCTCCCCGAGGATAATCGGCGATGCTTTTTGTTTGCATGCTACTCATTTATTCATCAGCCCAACCCCCACAAACCCCCAAACCCAAGCATTAGTCAGCCACCGGATGGCACTTGTAACATTGGCAAAGAACAACTCCCTATTTGAATTTTCTTATGTTTCATTCTTAGCTTACGAAACTCCTACAAATTTTTAGGGGGCTCCATCTTCCAGCACTGCCAAGTGCTGAATAATGCCAATTTCAGTAACATAAAGAGTTCTGGCTCTCTTTAGTCCAAATTTCTTAGTTCTCCTATGATATTATTGTCCAAGATTGTTATATCCTTGCCAATTGTATACATACTGGTCCATAGAAACTTATAGCAAACACCGGGAGGTTCACGAAATATATGAGAAGATACTTAAGGCAAGCATGAACATACAGGAAGTTGCAAAGAGATTTCCACAGAAAGAGCTGGTACGTTAAAACCTTCTGGATAAGGTTCAAAATGGTGAATTGAGATAGAGTGGATTGATGATCCTGTAGTCACTTGGCCGGGAAAAGCTAGACAAGGAGTCCTCTAAAATAGTTAGTCCTTCAACAAAAGCGCCCTATTTCCTCAACTATTTTTATAGGGAGAATCAATCTCCCTTTTGATAGAATTTGAAAGAGCACCAGTACAAAGCTTTTCTCTGGTTCCCCCAATTATTGGCTCATTCTACCTTCCCCGAGTTCGACTTAAACAGTCTGCAACCTTGGGTCAGATCCATTCAGCAAAAACCTTGCCAAAGATATGTTAAATTCTAAGGTCACAAGTAAATTTGTTATAGACAAGTAACCTAGGCAAGTTCAACTCTTACAAATTCTTTAAC